CCACCTAGAAGGTTCTGTCCTGGCTCACCAGAGAAGGGTGTGGCCCAGCAGCCTTAAGTTTGGGTTGGAATTGGTCCTTGGTGGCCGTGGCCTATTGCTTCCAGTTTTCAGACCGCTTTTGCAAAAATCACACTTTATCCTCGTGGCATCCCTGCGACAGGAGACTACAGCAGGCACGGGAAAGTGAAGAGGCAAAGTTTCCCTGTGCCCGTGGGTGCTAGGCTGTGGGTTTTTCTAGTTGAAAGCCCCGGTCACCCCCCGGCCCCACACACCCCGTTTCTCCCAAGGCTTTCCCCGGCAGATAAACGTAGTGACACAAGAAAGTTGATATTCCTACCGACAGTCTTGAAACATTAAATCTGACCAATAAGTCAAAGAAATGAGGAGAAATGAGGTCTTAAAGCCCATGCCTATTTCCAGAGTCAGAAAGAACACGAGACGTTCCGATGGGCTGTGTAACCAGATTCCTTTGCCTCACCTACAGCTGAGAGGTTAAGGGAATGTCTAACACCAGATGCTTTACTCCACACCCTATAGAACATTTTTCTTAGCGAGTGTTGGTTTTCCAGTGACTTTTAAGTTCTCGCAGCTTTCAGATAGTAAAATGGAGAGTGCTTTCTAAAATGAGTCATTTTTTAATAGTGGTAATCAGCTTGGACTGAGAGGCACGGTTCTTAATGTGTTAATTTTTATTAGTCTTGGCATTTGTACACGGAGGAACCACCACACTTCAATATGATAAACGGACTTCCCAGCATCCTGGTGCTTCCTCACAAGTGTTCTTTCACTGTATGATGTCTTGGTAAGGAACGGAGGTAAAATGCGCTCACTAGATTGGTCTGGTCTCACTGGAGAGGAAGGGAATTTGTGTGGTAGTTAACAAAACCACCTGTGACCCTTTTCCCTCGTGTTCCACTTTGCATCTCCTGCTGTGCACATACCCCTGCACATTGCTCATCGGTTACGTGAATGGAATTTACTTGCTGGACTTCTTACTTGACAGGACACTCATCATTTCTAAGGAGACAGGAGTGTCCTTAGCACCCTCTGCCTTGTGCTCTTGAAAGGAATTCTCAAAGCCCATCCCGGTTGGCAGAAGAGATGTGTGCCCCAAAGGGGGAACCTTTATTTTCTGGTTGACAAGCACAACTGTGCAACCGTTCTGTCTTCCCCTCCCTCTGTCCCTCCTTTTGTCAACTCTCCCCCCTTTTCCTTTCTCTTCCTTTCTTCTCTCCTTCCTGGGCCTGCTTGAGTTTTGTTGTGTAGCCCAGGCTGACTTCTACCTGGTGGTATACCTGCATCAATCAGCCTTTTCAATTCCTGGGGTTGGAGGCATGCCCTGCCTTGCTGTTGGTGGTTGCTACTACTGAGTAGTTAATTGGTGTTGGCTCTGTCTATGTATGTCATCTTGTAAACTGATGAGGTAGCATGTAAGTGCAATACATTCTTTACATTGTAGATAAGATGACAACAGAGGTGAAGGTAATTTAAATAACTTCTCTAAGTGATTTATTTGCAGTGTGATTCTAGCCTGTGTACCTAAAGAAAATCCCTCACCACCCTAATGTACCTGTTATGTCAGGCTCATGTAGCATCTGTCTGTAGTCATTTATGGATTGGGAAAATGCGTGTCCAGATTTGTAAGCCAACATACAATTTCTGAGGTGGTCTATTTTTATTTCAACAGACTGTGTTTTGTGGCTTTGTTTTAACAACAGTAAAAAGCCATTAAAATAGATTCTGGACCTTAGCTTCTGGAATTTCCTTCTTATTTCGTTGAAGATCAAAGCAATAGAAAGTATGATTTGTAGGATAGCTTCTTGTATGTCAAGCTGGAAGCCTTTAAGCTAACTTTGATAGTTTGTTTTCATTTATGCCTTTACTTAAACTATTAGAATGCCTGTCTTAAAATGCATATTGTCTGAAGATCTTAGTAAAGTTACATTCAATGAGTCAGCCTTTGGTTTGTACATCCTACATATTCTTACCATCTGGTTATTTGTCAATATGGTAGGTACTCATATTTAATCTAGGAATTCAAGATATATATTCAGTAAATATTTACTGTGCAATTATCATGTATAAGCAATAATCAAGTCATTTCTTACCCTACCAAAGCTTGTTCACAGAATTACTTTTTAAATTCACAATTTTTGTCTTGTTTGACTTAGACTCTGACTGCATTTCATTTAGATATTTTTAAATGAGTAATTTACATATTGAAAGCAATTAGAGGCAATGAGAAAAGTTGGGATGACTTGTATCAGTCATTAAGTAAAGTAACAGAAAATAAAATAATGGCCTCTAAGTTTAAATCATTGGCTTAAAAGTAGAATTAGACTTTTTCTTCTTCTTTTTTTTTAAAAAAAAAAAAAAAAAAACACTGGAAGGTCAACCAACTAAGTTCTTAAAAATTTTCTAGGGTAAAGAGGAAAGGAAGTTTTCTCAAGTGCCTCCAGTGCCAAAGTGAGAAAGCTGCAGCTTCCAACAGACTCTGCAACTGGACACACTCGATGGAGCTTTGGCACCGTTACTGGGAGAACTCTGTGATTCTTAACTGGGCTCTTTAATCCTCTTGTTACTCACATCTGTATCTGAGAGCAGGAGTCAGAGGCACTGAAGACAAGGTCTAGCCCAACATTTGATGGAATTCTGCCTCTGCCTCCTTCAGTGCTGAGATCACAGGCACGATCCACCACACCAAGCCATAAGACAGCGTTTCTTTTTGTTTTAAGGATTGGTCTTTTCATTTATGATCCTGTGTGTGTGCCAAGGAGGTCATGAGAGGTTGTAGGAACCTCTGCCCCACCCATCCGCTGAGCTGGAGTCTCAGGGGATTGTGAGCTGAGCTACGTGAGAGCTGGACATAGAGCGTGGGTCCTCTGGAAGAATGCTAAGGATTCTTAACTGCTGCTGGCCATTCTCCCTCCCGAGAAGCAGCCTCTTCATAAGTGTCTAGGTCAGCTCGTTGTGCTGGCGGTTTGGGCATGCTGGCAAGTGTTTTACCACTGAGCCACACCCCTACTGTTCTAACTTGAGATAAGACTCTTTTTGATAAATAACAGGATGATTAAGAAAGGAAAATTTTAAGTTCCAATGAGCAGTATTTTTTATACTTAAGAATTTTTACACTTAAGATAATTCTTGTGGATCATATTTTTGTTTGATTAGTCATAAAATATAACCTTTCCCTTTGGAGTGGCATGTTTTACCATTTAAATGTTTATTTACCCATTGCCATAATCCCTACTATTAAGTTTTCACTTTCATCTGAACCTTTTGGCTGTTTGCTGAATTCTAGTCAGGGTAAATAGCCTTTCCTAGACAACTTTTTTTTTTTTTTTTTTTTTTTTTTTTTTTTTTTAAAATTGAAATGTAGTAGCTAAGATGATATGGAACTAGAATTCCATCACTCCTTTCTTGTTTGTGAGTAGTCATATACCATACATTCATAAGCATAGTTCTTGACTATGTACACACATTTATAATATTTATGTAGAACTGTGGGTTGTGATGCCTTTGTGGGTTAAATGACCCTTTTTTTTCAGGGGTCACATATCAGATATCTGCATTGTGATTCTTAGCAGTGCAAAATTACAGTTAGGAAGCAGCAGTGATAATAATTTTGTGGTTGGGGATCACCGCAACCTGAGGATCCGTATTAAAGAGCCACAGCATCAGGAAGGTTCAGAAACCCTGATGTAGACTCTTAAGTTTTTGTAGGCCATCTGTGGTTCCACTTAGCAAGTACAATGTATACTTAGTTGCAACTAATAAGTAGTTTAATTTAGCAGAAGAAAGAGTCCGTGTTTCAGACATGTGACAGTGTGAGTATGATTATGTACTCGGTGATAAATTGTATTTGAGTTTTGTTTTTCCCTTTTCCGATATTTGGTACCTGGAACAGTGTAGTTCCATTTGGAAGAGTTTCATTTGTTTGTTTATTTTAATAAACTAGTGGAGTCAACCAGTAGATACACATTTAAATATTCTCTTGTTACCCTGATATTTTGATATTTCATTGGTATCCAGGACCAAAATACATATTCCTGAAAAACAGTTGTCTCTGCCTGCTTCTTAGGACTAGCAGTTGCTGGTAATAGAGACATCAACAAGAAGTAGTTATTAATAAAATAGTTACCTGAGTAAGGATTATCTGTTTCCTGTCTTTCCTTTTTCTTCTATCTACTTACATGTATTTAACTGCCATGTGTGAGCTCTTGGATCCAGGAACGGAGATTCATACCTGTAATCCCAGTACCCTGAGGAGAATGGGGCAGGAGGATCATAGATTATGGAGCCAGACCCAGACTCAAAGAGCAAGGATATTGGAGAGGTGCTGTGGGCTCTATCCACCAATCTCCAGGGGACATGCAAGCAAGACACGGGCTGCTTCCTAGTTCTTCCATAACAAATCTTGGGGGAGAAAAACACCTATTAGTGCCATGTTTTGTTCCTTTAATCCATCTTCCTAGATGGCATGCATTCTTTAGGAAAATGTTGTTTTGAAATAGTGGTGAAGAACTCAAAGATGACATTTTAATAGTGCCTAAAAATGACCTGAAAGCAAGCCTGACTTATTGCCCTAGGTTTTGAAAACAACTGGCTCATCAAATCTTGGAACAAATAGATTTTATATTGCTCAGCATAACCCAACACTACCCACAGGTGCTCATTTCCTTGATAAAATCTATAAATACAGCAGGACTACAAGATCATCACTGAGCTGCAGCTCTAGACAAGTATACTCAGTGCTATTTCCTAAGATTCCATTTGCAATTGAGGTTCAAATGAACCTCTTAACTTAACTTCAAATGACTTAACATATGAATATAAACATCTCAATCAAGTGGGACCTTCACTGAGTTTCTATTAATTCACTTAAAGCTCTGGCTGTTCAGTAAATGTAGCTTTGTGCAGAAAAGTCTTACATTTCCTCGTTTCTCCTCTATTAGGTAAGATCTTGTCTAAGAAAATAAATATGTCTAGGGTAAAGTGTGTTAGTACAATTGATGTCCTTTTCCTTGGAAGATGTAAGTGAAACAATATATTAATTGCCTAATATTGTTAGCTCATCCACAGGGATTTGGTTGGAATTGAGTTGTGGAAAAGTAGAGCAAATTAGGGGTAAAAAGTGATTGAACTCTGAATTGAAATAATATGAAATATTTTTTCTGTGTATCTGCAGTTTTGAAAGAATCCTCTAAAGTAATTTTTAGTCAGTTTATGATTTAATGATTCCATAGAAGTCACTGGATTCTAGCTACAGTATTTTATTTTCTCAAGAGAAACAATAGAAAATTGAGTAATGGTAGCTTACTTTTAATAAAATACTAAGAAAATTTGCTTGCATTCTTAGTCATATAGGTTATATTTTGTTAAACTTTATTAGTTATAGAAATCCTTTTTCAAAAAACAAGTGATAAGGAACTGGATAGCTAGGTTTTTTGGAAAAGTAGTTAAGAGTGTTGGCAACTAAGTCTTCCAAAAAACCCATGTTCAATTCTCAGGCACCCACGTGGCAGCTCACAACAGTCCCTAACTCCAGTCCCAAGGGAATCCTCCAGCGCCTCCTTCTGACTTTCTCATGCACTGTACACAGTACATATTCATATATGTAGGCAAAACATGCATGAAATAAAAATAAAGGAGAAAAATTTTAAAAATTAGTTGATGCTTATCATTACAGCATCATTGAATGGGTGCATTCACCTGCTCTAACATTAAGAACACTGGCTAATCCAGGTATGGTGGGTCCAGTCTGTGATGCCAGCTCTCCAGCTGAGTGAGGAAAAATTTCAGTTCAGGCTTACAGGGTCTACACAGGAAATAAAGAAGTAGGCACTAAGACCACTGCCTTTTCTCATCTTAGATGATATGCCAAGCTACCTTTAAAATGAACTGTGATTCTTCTTGGAGACTTATTTTATTCATTAATTTCATGAATGAATATGAATATGACCTTCATATCTTAACATGAAGTTTTGAACTGTCTGTTCACTCTGTTCCTGAACCAATAATAGAAATTTTTAGAGAAAGGACCCCAATTTTAATGCACATGAAACTTTAAAGTGAATTTTGTTTAAAGATGCAATATCATATTCAGAGATAATAGCCTTTTAGACTACATTTCTTCCCGAGAACTCGTGTTGAAGGAAAAGAACAAGTCATTCTTTGTAATAAGCAAAAAACAAATAGGCAGTTATTAACACAGAGGTAATAGATAAAAGATCCATCTGGCTTATCACAATAGCCAGTTATATGGCCCCTGTTGGCTTGATAACCAAGTCAGGTGTGATGCATAGGTCACTTAATGCTGTCCTCTGAAACCAGAGTTATATATGGAGACTTTTGAAGGAAGAAAGGAATCTCAGCTGCCATCTAGAGTGTCTTTAAAGTGTTTGAGTCACCATGTGTCTGAAAACTGTTCTGAGTAGACTTTTTGTTTATACATTGAGGCTGTGAAGAGTTAGGTCTGGAACACGCAAACCCAGGGTAACTGGAAGGCAACACCGTGTTTTCTGGGCGCTCGTATTGTATCCTGCCAGCCATCCTCAACAGCCATGCTACCCTGTATTCTGTGGTGAGTTAGGCTTTCTAGAAGAAATTCTGTTGAAAACAATATAATGAATAACTAGCCTTGAGCCCTTGGCTTTGATGTTGGTATCCATTAAGCCTGTCTTAACAGGTAATGCAGTGAAACAAAAGCACAGAGTGGCTGGTGGGATTGGGCCCCTGTCCTTGGTAAGCACTGGTGCACTGGAGTCAGTTGCCGGGGCTGAATACCTGCATCTGCCACTTAGATTGGTCACAGAGACAGGGCTGTTGCTGTCTCTATTTGTTTATCACCTCAGGGTTATTGTATGAGAACAAAATGAGGCAATGTAGTTAGTAAATATTAGCAGATAGCAAATACTCAACTGTTAGATGATGTATGTAGCAGCGCAGATGATAAAACCCATGAAATCACCATGTATGCCTTGAAAAGTTACAAACTGCTATAGAGTCTTGCTAAAGCTTAAACGTTTGTAGATGCTAGAGATTATATGCAGCTAGAGAGGATATAGACCAAGGGTTGGATAACTGCTGGATACCACTTGATTTTATTAAATGAAAGCAAACCACCTTATGGGTCTCATTCATTTATGGCTACTTTTACACTATAGTGAGGAGGGGAGTGATAAGAGACTGTATGGCTTCCACAGCCTAAACTAATTGCAATCTAACCCTCTGCCCAAAAAAAAAAAGTGTGTTTACCTCTCTTATAAACTCTATAGGCTCTATAGGCCTCTAGAGGACTCTTGGGAATATCAATGCCTGTCCAACTTAATTTGAGAGGTATAAGAAAGGTATATATATCTGACATACCTATAACATTAAAAAATGCCACACCAACTAATTTAACATCATTGGGAATTGAATTTGGAATGAACTACGTAATTTATTAAAGCTTTAAAATGCCACAGTTGCTGATGCCTACTGAGCAAAAAGACAGGACAGCTTCAGAATGTGTTTTATGATGGCCCCTTATGGACCCCTGAGGTTCAGTTTGGATTGAATACAGTTTCTGTATCTCTTGTTTGTCAGTGTTTAGTGGCCCAATGCCCACTGTTTGGTCAAACTTTGGTTTTGCATCTGATACACATTTGGAAATACCTGCCTGTCTCCCTCTGACATTATGGTAGTGAGGAGGTGAAGTGTATGGGAAGTAGAAGGGTTCATGCCTCCTTTACTTAGGAATTAGTAGTCAGGGAAGAGATGGAGACAGCTTGACGGTGATTGGTTTAGATAAGGGGCAGGTGAGGGACAGTGACTTCCATAGAAGAATGTTTCCCATGATTATAGAATAATCATGTAAAAACCCTGGGATCCTGTGTGTGTGTGTGTGTGTGTGTGTGTGTGTGTGTGTGTGTGTGTGCGGGGGGGGGGGTGTTTGGTTGACATCCGAAGGTATTCCTCAATCATTTCTCCACCTTATTCTCTTTGAGACAGAGTTTGTCATTCAGCCTGGAGCTTGCTATTTCCTAACTGGCCGGCCACCGAGCGCACAGGATCTGCCTGTCTCTGCCGGAGTCTGGGGTTCCAGGTGCGCACCATGTCCAGCTTCTACGTGGGTGCTGGGGATCTGAGTGTAGATCCTCATGCTAATGCAGCAAGAACTTGACCTGCTGAGCACCCCTCCCCTGTTGACACTGCATTTACCTGTCCTCAAGTGATTTCAGAATTAGGATTCTATCTCTTAAGACAGAGTCTGCCACATATCCTAGACTGACCTCAAACCTAAGCTTAATTCTTCTGTCTTAGTTTCCTGAGTGCTAAGATTATAGATAGGTGTATACCTTCTCACCCAGCCATTCCTATGTTTAATTAAACTCACAAACAACAACAACAAAAAAAAACAAAACTTATGCAACAAATGTGTTAAAGAATAAGATTAAAGCTGTCAGACTTTGAATAGTGCGATCACATGCCTTTCAGACATCTTGTAAAGAAAATTATACCATATTTAGAGTGAATTGCTTATGTGGAAAACTAGGTTAACACCAAGTGACTTTATTTCTCGTTCTCTAAAACATGTAGGCATTTCAGTCGAACAATGGAAGAGCTTGTTCACGATCTTGTCTCTGCACTGGAAGAGAGTTCTGAGCAGGCCCGAGGTGGGTTTGCTGAAACGGGAGATCATTCTCGAAATGTGTCTTGCCCTCTGAAACGCCAGGCCAGGAAAAGGAGAGGGAGGAAACGGAGGTCCTATAATGTTCATCACCCTTGGGAGACTGGTCACGGCTTAAGTGAAGGCTCCGATTCTAGTTTAGAGGAAGCAAGTAAGGACTATCGAGAGAACCACAACAATAATAAGAAAGACCACAGTGACTCTGACGACCAAATGTTAGTGGCAAAGCGTAGGCCATCATCAAACTTAAATAGCAGTGTTCGAGGTAAAAGACTTCTGTGGCATGAGACTGATTTTGCTGTGGACAACCTTGGGAACAGAACTCTGCGCCGCAGGAGGAAGGTAAAGCGCATGGCAGTGGATCTCCCACAGGACATCGCCAACAAAAGGACAATGACCCAGCTGCCTGAAGGGTGCAGAGACCAGGAGATGGACAATGATAGAGCTTACCAGTATCCAGAGTTTACCCGGAATAAAGTTAAAAAAAGGAAGTTGAAAGTGATTAGACAAGGACCAAAAACCCAAGAGGAAGTAGTTTTGGAAAGTGAAGAAATGAGCCAAACCAATAAGGACAAAATGGAATACGAAGAACAAAAAGTCTCAGATGAGCTCATGAGCGAAAGGTAACATACTATTATCTGCCAATAATATGTTTGTCTGTGTGCTTGGGGCTGAATATGTTTTATATTTTAATTAATTCTGTTTTAAGATAATTATAAATTACCACAATGATAGTGCTATTACTTTGTAACTAGGTTTTCGTATGTCTTTATAATTTATAGCATTTTCATACACAGCAAAATTGCCTATTTGATTTATGCAAAGTGTTAATTATAACTGTCTTGGTTTTCAGCTACAAAGAGAGAAAAATGGCTTTTCTTTGGGAAAGGATATGCTTTGGAGTCACTGCACTTTAGGTTATCTCGTTGTTGGTGGAATTTGGGAGCTTCCGTCTCGGAAGCATATAGGCTGCATATTCGTTATTTTGACTCCTAGTGTTCAAAGTTCATACTCTGTGATGTGTGGGGCTTGGTGTGTTGATCTTTAGCTTGCTAGGGAATTCTGATCACTTATAAAATATAAAGTCCCGATTTATGGTGTGGAAGCAGCTGATTTTGGTCCTTAGAAAAATGGGAATTGTAGCATTCCTGTGTTGGCTATCTGTCCATCTCAGGGAGCAGAGCACCGCTATTCTAATGCCACATGCTCGTGGCATGTCAGAGCGGAATGGGCCTCTGCCATTTATCCAGCTGCTTGTAAGAGCACCCAGCACTGCTCATCATGTTCAGCTCATGCCCAGCAATTTCTGAGAGCCAGAAAAAGTGGCCCTGGGGCGAGCATATGATTTTTAGTTTGCAGCATTGGCCTCATATTGATATGTGGGTGTGTTTGTAAGTGTGGCTGCAGTTAGGAAGAGGACCCAGTTGGAGTTAATTTTTTTCATTAGACAGTTTTTAGTTTTTCTTCCAAAGGTAAGCCAAAGGTAAAGAAGTTTTTGAAGAATGTTTTGAAAAGTTTGTTTCATTCAAGACTGTTATTATTTTTGTTCAGGAGTAGGGTTGCTGAGGGAACATGGCAGTGCAGTGACAGGCTGAGCTCTGGGCCATTCGCAGCTCACTGCTTTGCTGGCTGCATGGAAGCCCCTCCTTTTTGTTTGCTATGTCTTCTTTTTATTCATCTGCTGCTTACACTTTCTACCCTGTAACCATAATGAGGCAAAATTGGCGCTCATTTATTTCTTCTCATTGTTTAACAACAACAAAAATCAGGGTCAAGTAGGTATATCGGGGCTCCCAGTTGTTGACATCTTAGGTACATAGTTTAAATATGACATTTTAAATCAAATAAAGTTAACTATATTTCCTTTGATTTAAACTTTTTCTTATACCAGTTTTCTGCTGCCACTTAAGGGCTCAGTGCAGTTTCTTCTGTGGGAAGGATTGCTACAGAGTGAAGGCATCTTCTATTTCCAGAGTTTTCCATTTTAAGAAGGTTTATAGTTCTTGGGTTCGATTTATAAGTAAAAATCTGTGTGTGTGTGTGTGTGTGTGTGTATGTAGGGGTGTGTTGTATAGGTTTGTGTGTGTGTGTGTGTGTGTGTGTGTGTGTGTGAAGCATTTTATTACTGCAGTGTGCATTGATGGATCACAGACTAATAACACAGGCTCTCTACCATGCCCTAACCTGGAATAGACAGACATTAAGTATTGAGACTAGAGTGTACTGTGTGGAAGGTACTTGTGAGTGAAGGCTTTCTCAAAGGGGCTGTGTTCAAAGCAAGAACTAAGACTTGTTCAGAAAAGGGAGGCATGGGGAATCAGCGGGGAAATGGCATGACTGAAAGAAACAGTTTGTGTGCAGACAGACTGTCACATCAGCATAGGGTGAAGACAGCTCATTGCTACTAGGAAATAGAGGATGGGGGCTACTGCAACAGCATTTCTTGAAGACTTATGTGCTCTTGTAGTTTAGATTTCATCATGTAGGCAGTGAGAAGTTTTGGCAGTGAAGAAACAATATAATCTTGGCAGTGGTGTTCTGTTTACCCTTGGCTGACCTCACCCGTACAGTGGAGGGTAGTCTGTCTGCTGGTAGAGGAAAAGAAATACCTGAGAGCTATTTTAAGAGTAGAAATCAATGGGAAGCTGTAGAAGAGGACTTTACTCCATCTTTTCTAGTCCTACTGGACCAGTTTTCTTTCTACCCACTGGGTCCTCACAGCCACTTACGAAATAACCTCTCTGAGACTTAATATCAATTACAATCGTTTGGCCAATGGCTTAGGCTTCTTATTGGCTAACTCTCTCTTAAAATAGTAACCCATTTCTATTAATCTGTGGTTGTAGCTTGCCTGTGATACCCTGACTGGCATCTCCCTTCCCTGGCAGCTACATGACATCTCCTCTGACCCTGCTTCCTTCTCTCTCTATCCTTTGTTTGGAATTTCCACCTAGATATATTCTGCCTGACCAATGCCTGACCATTGGCTGAAACAGCTTTATTAATCAACCAATAAAAGCAACACATATACTCAGTCTATAGAAGGATCTCCTAAAGCAGACCTCCTACATCAGGAAGCTGTATTGGGAAGGGTGGTGCTCTCAAATAATGCCTGGTTTCTAGTCAGAAAAAAACAAAACCTGGCTGCTGGAAATGAAAAGCCTTTCTTGTTAAATTCTTATTCTTAATGAGCATAGCAACAGGGAAGTACATGCAGCAACTGGCTAGTTATCAAAGTACATGCAGCAACTGGCTAGTTATCAATAATGTGTCCATTAAAAACATAGAGAGCAAGGATCATTAGAGACTGATTTAGAATCTAGATTTCCACATGTCTTGAGATTCATTAGGATGTGGACAGAGGTAGGATTGCTTCTTAGACAAAGGACATAAGCAAGAATACCAAACATAGAATGGAAAGAATTTGTAAGGAGCCCACCCATAGAAAGCTTTGGAATCTAAGTTTCATTCTGTAAGCTAAACTAATACTTTATGTTTTACCTAGAAAGCTGTCATTTTAGGTGGTATGTGTGTGTATGAGTGTGTTTTAGGGCCTTTTTAAAAGACTACTTTTAATTTACAGAAACGTTACCAAAACAGTTTGCAGAGTTCATGCCTTTCCCATTCTCACACCCCAACCAATTTCATTTTACTGTTACTGAGTATGGATATGTTTTTAAGTTGGTATTTTATCAGAATTACCATTGGTTTTATTTAAAATGGCTCCCTTCTGTTCCAGGGCATTACCTTTACACCTGTAGTCACCCATTTATACTGTAAAAAGGTGAACTTGGCTGTATGTAGGATAGATTAGAGGATGGTAAATCTGAACCCAGCAGACTGGCTGCAGAAAAATAGCAACTGACTCACTGTTTGCAGGCTCACTGTGGTCGGACTTAACTTGTGTTCAGTAAGCATATTCATTGGTGTAATTGAGAAATGCAGCTGATCTGATTATGGAGTGCTACACTAGACTTCTGGGGTCATTATAGAGTATGCCCTTGTGGAATCCAAAGGATTTGAATTGTAAGTATATGTATCTTGGGCATTTCAGAAAAGGAATTGTGCCTGAGGTGTGTTTAAGAACTTTGGGTTGTAAGGAAACCAGAAAAGCAGTGATAGTTTGGACCAGTACTACATAGCTAGACGGTCAAGCTTCTGAGGTGTTTTTCTTTTTCTTTTTCTTTTTTTTTTTTTTTTAATGTAAGACCATCTGTGCTTGTAAATAGGATGGTGTCAGTTCAGCACCTTAGAAATACTATTGCAGCTTTGAAGGGAAAAAATGTGTCTCTTGACAAATTCTTATACCTTTCATGAGTTTATTTTTGAAAAGCAAATAAAATTAGAAATATTGTATGCAAAAAATGTGTGGATTTAGGACTAGCAATGATTTTCATCATAAATATTTTGTAATTTTGTAAAACAGGCTAATGTGCCTAATTTTTAAAAAGCTAAGCTACATTGTATTATATTTTAATGGATAGGTTATTTATTTATTTTTTTTTTTTATTTAGGGATGAAGGTAAAGGCATTTGCACCAAGCCTGATGCCCTGTGTTTGATTTTCAGAACTCCTCTAACCTCTATGACCTCAATAAACGTATCTTGGCACACACACCCCCCCCCCATACACAAATACTTTCTTTTAAAAGACTATTTTAATTAAAAAAAAAATCCCTAGTGACGATTTCTTGATTGATTAAAATCAAGAATCAAGAGTGAGAAAGTACATAAGAGCTTTTAAAGAACAACACTCAGTTTTCTTAGGGGCCAAGGCTTTCATGACTTGTTCTTATTTCTTCCTATTTTCACTTCCTTGAACTGTCATATAAATATTGCTTCCAGTAGACTAATAGTGGTTGGTTCTTTTTTTCTGAGTATGTGTAATTTACTGAATTTCCATAGTAAATTTGAACCTGCGTTTTATTCTCCAGTTTATACCGAAGTATGGGAACCCTTCTTAATAGTGGCCTAAAACTCACTCTATTGTTTGACTGTGAGCTAGTGGACTGCTACCATCACTCCGTTCTTCCTTTCGAGAGCGGCTTTTCTAGAACATTTGCTAATGTGGTTATGAAAGTCATTTCATCCCAGGCCCTGGTGTTTCTGGGATGAAGACAGTCTCAGCCTGCTTCTGATGGAGACTGCCCTGGCTCAGTGAGCACTGGGGTTTCAGGCTCAAGCTGATCACACTGCACTGCACAAGAACGGAGCAGTGGCATTTGATGGAAGCAGATAATAGAATGCATCCCTTGTGTCCCCATCTCCTTGTGTCACATCTGGCTCGCTGTCCAGGTCTCATTAGATTCCTGGACATGCCCCAAATGCTATGTTCCATAGTTAATGGAACCGGGATATTTGCAGTTTGATTTAAAAATAATAATAATCTTATTTTCTTTCAGATCTTTGTCAGGCTCAAGTTCCATTTCTGAGCTGCCATGTCTCTTTAAAATTTTACGACTGATAGATCAATTGTTCTTTTGATCTGTTTCATTTTTCTCCTTTTCCTGCTTACAGTGACTCCAGCAGTCTCAGCAGCACTGACGCCGGCTTGTTCACCAATGATGAGGGAAGACAAGGTACTGAGATAGTTTTCCCCTCTTAAAAAAAATTCATTTTAAAGTTGTGCACACTCCTGGTTATTTTATAAGCTGCCAACACTAACCCCTTAATATTGCAAGAACTGCTTAGTGATTCAGCTGGTTTCTATACTCCATGGAGGATGTCTTGGCATCCTAACCCAATAATAGATGTCTAACAAGTAGCATGTGTCACTAAGCTTTGCATTTGTCAGTGTTTGTAGTTTGCTCCCTTTTAGCAAGATTGCCAGACATCGATTTTATTCTCCACCTTATTCTAGATGTTTGTAAAACCATGTAAGCATTCATAAGAGTGATTTGCAGTGATTTGTCATTTTTATTCAGTTGTTATACTTATACTATGCCATTTATAAGTAATTAAATGGCTTTTATTAATTTAATATTATAAACTATTAAACAGAACTATGTTACATCTTAGGCGTTTTTTATCCTGCAAAATTCCAGAATCTGTTCACACTTTAACATGGCAGTATTTTGAAGCTGTGAAAAATTTGATACCCTTGTGAAGCTGTGAGGAGTCACCCTTGCTTGGACCGATTTAATTTAGTCGCATCAGCCCATAACTCGTTTTCCCTTATTCCTTGTACAAATCATGAAGTTGAACTAACCTTATGTGTACTTATCACAGAGTATCTTTATTTCTTAGAAGGCATTATTAGAACCAGGAACGGTAGCCAGCGCCTTAATCCTAGCACTTAGAAGAAGCAGAGGCAGGCAGGGATCTGAGTTCCAGGCCAGCCAGAGCTACTTAGTGAGACCCTGTCTCAAAAACCGAACCAAACCAAACCAAGCAACAACAAAAAGAATGCATTAGCAGAAAGTAGATTCTACAGACTTATGTTTTGTTAAAATACAGATCTTATCCAGGTTATAGAGGTTGATGATAAGATGAAATAAAATGATAAACTTTCATCAAAAGGGACTTCTTAGCAAGGCTGACATCTTTCAGAGTCACTGGCATAAGACAGAGCAACAGTTATTAAGACTTTACTGCATTTAATTTACTTGGTTCTCACTTCACTTCATTTTTTAAGAACTGTGTGAGTTCCCAATTTTTATTTATTTTTCAAGTGGGGCAGGCACTAATACAGTTGAAATGACTTTCTCAGTGTAACAGGACAATGGATTTTTAACTCACTTATCTGATTCCTTGCCCATGCTTTTAATGACTATTTAAGTTACTTCCTAAGAATAATGTTGCATATCATATAAAAGTAAAGTCAAATAATTTCATTTTTCTAGAGTGGTTTTTGTTTGTTTTTCTTTGTGAGACACGCTCTATGTTTATATGGCACAAGGTAGCCTTTCATTCTTGACTGTGCCTCAGCACCCCAAGTGGGTTAATGGCCATTCAGATGCAGTCAGCATCAAGTGAGTCCTTGCTTGAGTTAACAGGCCTGCTCTACAGCATTTAAATTTCTCTCTGCAAGCCAGCAGTGGTGGCGCACGCCTTTAACCCCAGCACTTGGGAAACAGAGGGCAGTGAGTTTGAGGCCAGCCTGGTCTACAAAGCTACACAGAGAAACCCTGTCTCAAAAAACAAAAAACAAAAAAAAATTATCTCTCCTATGAAATGTCAATATTTGAGTATTATAAATTTTAGCAAAGTATTTTTTTATTCCCTGATTCAAACCACTCCTGTGGTTTTCACATTACAATTGCTTTTAATTTTCACTGTTTATTTGAACTAAATCTGTTTGCCATATAGTATTCTCAGCTCACGTTATAGGCAGTTTTCTTTAGCATTGTTTTTGTTTCATGATTGCAGTTTCCATTTTAAAATTTCAGAGTAAGAGGTCTCAAATCTGAAGTCTCATAAACGGGAAGACGATTGTCATATATGAAAACTCTTACAAAAAGCCTTAAGTACTGGTGGCTTCTGGGGAATCTTAGGAAGATTTAGTGACTCTCATTTAAAATCTTACTTTTCTCTTATTTTCATAAACTGTCTACATTTTGTACTTTTAATCATTTGAAGACAAAATTTTGATACTCACTGAGGTTAAGCAAATTTTAAATTGTCATTTATAATAAAGTTACACCTAGGTCAATATTAGAAAACAAGTGTTGTTCTTTAAATATCAATTTCCATGATAAAACTAAATCTTCTGGGGGCATTTTTGTCTTTGCACAGGGGACGATGAACAGAGCGATTGGTTCTATGAGAAGGAGTCAGGGGGAGCCTGTGGTATTGCTGGAGTTGTGCCCTGGTGGGAAAAGGAAGACCCTGCAGAGCTAGACAGAGACCTACCTGACCCCGTGTTTGAAAGCATCCTCAGTGGTTCTTTCCCCCTCATGTCACATCCTGGCAGAAGAGGTCAGTAGCACTTCCCGAGTGCTGGCTCCATCAGCTCGGGCTCTCCCTGGGTTCTTCACTGAGACAAAGGGTAGACCAAAGTGGGAACAGACTGTAAACACAGTGTGCTGTAGAGAAACGTGCGGGGCCCAATCCAAGGACTGTATTCATTCGCTTTCACTCATCAGGAAGCTGTTACAGGAGTCTGGACTGGGAGAGCATTCTTGCTGTCTGAGTGCTCTCTAGTTAAGTGCCGACTGCATTAGAGCCCTGCTGGGAATTGCCTCAGTTCTTAAGTATGTTTCACATTTTCCCCGGTAATATTCTTGGTGTTCACCACCATCAGCAACTTCGTTTTAATTCTGTTGTTAGGATCTTCTTCTATTCTCCAGTGATCACAGTATCTTCTAAATTGCCTGTTTGATTTCTCAGGTTTCCAAGCTAGACTCAGTTGCCTTCGTGGAATGCCTTCAAAGAATATTAAAAAATCTGGAGGGGCTCCACCTTCAATGGTAGGCATGCTTTCTTACTGAATTGTCATGTTTGGAAATGTTTTCATTTCTGTGGAATAAAAAGTCACATCCTCACTGTTTATTTATATTCTAATGTTATATTTAAAAATAATCCATTTTCTTGTAGGCTGCAAACTGGACCAGTGAGATTCCCCTATAAACCAAATCTTCTATTGCTAATAAATTAGTTACGTTTTGAACACCTGGGGAATGGCATTCGAGGGACCCTGGCTCCTGTCCTCTTCCCTGGAGGAATACACTGAAGTGCGAGCCTCTTTGATGCAGACCTGGGGCTGTTTTGCTGCAGGACTGATGTTTCTTTTAGCCAGAAGTGAATCTGATTGGGGAGGATTCCCTGAGATGTAGGTTGGCCCAGGGTGGATACAAACTACTGTATATTTTATATATTTTTCTCTCTTGTGGTTTTTAACATTGGATCTATTTATGTATTGCTTGCTTTGCCAAATGCTAACAAGAGATAGAAAATTGAAAACTATATTTAACCCAAGTATTCCTTAATATTTCTATGACTGGTTAAGATTCAGCTTTTAATCTGACGTGTGAATAAAAAAATGATGTATTGCCATTCATGGTTCATTTTAAAACAAGTCTTCTATACCAGCATTATTTAAAATACTGTGTTTTACTCAGGGTACTTTGTTTAGTAAGGGCCGATATAAGTAGGTGAGGTTGATAATCTTTGCTCGAGTTTATCTTTTGTTAAGTTTAATTCCTAGTGGATAATTGTTCTGTATTACAAACCTGTTGTATTTTATACTATAGTCTTCATTGTACTGCGAAAGTCATCCTACCTCTAAAACTGCACAGTGATCCCAAACTAGTCTATATTAGGGAATCACTTGCTGTCACATTGTCATTGGTGTGTGTCTGATCCCTGAACTGGTCACAGCTGCCTCACTGTCTCGGAACTTGATGAAATCATGTGAACCTGGCGTTTTAACAATGCTGCATGACTGAATCTCACTGTTATATCTATAGTGAGATGCTTGCTCTTCCTTGGATGGCATTCCGTGTGTGCCACCGAGTTTTAGAAATATTTGTGTAAGATCATTTTCATCAAGCAGGAGGGAAATAAAACATTCCCATTGGTGGCATAATTCTTATAATGTTATTTTTAATTGATTAATGTTTTTGGTGATTTAATGTTTTCGTATTGTATGGTTTAGATGTCATTTCATTATTTAATGGCTAAATTAAATATGATGGAAGGGAACCAAAGTTGACATTACCTTACCCAAGACGATTGTGGTCTGAAAAATTTAAAAATGAAGTAGGTAGGAATGTATGACAAGAAGTCGAAGGTGACACGGTACAAGTTGGCCCTCCTGATTGTCCCATGGAAAAGGTGGGTGATGTGCTTAATAACTGAATTAAGGTTTTTATACTGTCTCAGGGCAAAAATTCGTGCTTTTTTCCTGAATTACAGAAATGCTTTTGTTTTGTATGATGACTGTCCTTTAAGTCTGAATAAGTCACTTGCATGCCTCAGCCTATGATCTTTGCCTCACCAATCATGAATCTAGATGAGTACTATCTCGTTCTTGGCTCAGCTTTACCTATTTTTGTTTTTGGTCCACTGCTTGCTTGAGCATAGCTGGGATTTGTAGCCCATTTTCTAGGCTTATTGCCGCCTCGCTGTGCTGTTTTATAGAAGCTATTACGACGGATAGACTGGCTTCATGGTGGTGATGATACATGGCTGCGCCATCCTCGGAGCTGCCTCCGTCTAAATTGTGAAGCGGTGATTAGACTGCACTTCACAGAGATTTCCATGTATGTGTGTTTAACATGGGCCCAGCACATTGCTCTATTCAAAATTCTACTGAACACATGGGACTCCTTAAGGTGTTTTTCTCTCAACCCTGGATTGTCCTTGTTTACATTTTTACATACTGTAAATTTTTTTCCAATAAAATCTCTGACTTGAGCAAGAAAGGTAAGATTTTCAGTTTGTGCTGATGTTTTCTAATTCTCTGTATGTTTTGCTACCTTAAAAATTTTAACCTGCTAAGACAGTCACATTAAAGGTCATCCATTATTTCTTATAGTAAGAAATTAATTTCAATTAGCATAGACTCACACTGGGAAGCCAAAGTGTACATGAGATAGATTCATTTTAGGAGCAAACGCCAGCGTGTGTAGATGCAGCCTTTGAGCAGAATGGCAGCAGAGGGTCTGTGGTGGTTGACACCTCCAAACGTGCAGTGAGGAGCGCACGAGAAGGAAGTGACAGTGGGAACTGCCTGAAGTAGGGGTGTTTTCAGTTATTGCCCTCATTCCTGTAGGTTGTGTGTGGGTCTTGGGTCCTCATGTCCCCGTCAGCTGTGGACTGAATAATGTTGTGTGTGTATTTATGTTTATAGGTGTTTACTGTGTATTGTTGATTCCCAAACATGGAATAATGGATAATAGCACCATCACCGAAGCCTGAACAAACTTTTCTAACGTGTGTTCTCTCCATAAGGCTCACCGTGGCCTCCTCATGCTTAGTAACATGACAGACTCCACTTTCAGCTTGAATTTGGGGCCATTGAAGGCAGGAAAAGCACGAGAAAGCACAGAGCTCCAATAGAGCAGTCCTCCTTCCATAGGTCACAGAGCCGGGGCTGCAGGAAGGAGGCCGAGTGAGGTCCTGCTCCCTTTGTCCCCTGAGTTCTCCTTCCTTCCTGAGGCAGCTCACATTGTTCACTGCTGTGCCCATGCCCATGAATATCTGCAAAAGTTCTCAATATTGCTTTTCAGGTTGCTAGCTGATAATAATATTTCAAATTTGGAATCTGCAAGGAGGAACAAGGAATGGCTGTGTATTTGTGGAAGGCAGAGTGGTCACATGTCAGATCCTGCATATCAGATACTTCATGATGCTACAGTGTGATGAAGTAGCAATGAAAGAACTTTATGGCTGGGGTCTCTACAACATGAGGAACAGTATTTGAGGGCTGTAGCATGAGGAAGGTTGAGAACCAAGGTTTCTTCTTTTGTGAAATAGAGACGTTGTTTTCTCTATTGACGTGCTGTCAGGCTTAAATACGGTTAAAGTACATATATAGGCTTAGGTCCATCTTCAGTACATAGTATATAATAAATAATAATCGCTGTTGTTATTGAAGATAATAAACACAATACCTGATAATGCAACTTAATGTTAATCTCCAAGTGTAGAATTTGACCTTAAATTTTTCATGTTTTATATATAATTTATATATAATTTGACATTACCTTAGTAGAGTCCTTTATTTTATAGGATTTAGGTTTCTTTTGTATCTTATTTGTTTGATCTGACTTTTGTCTTTAATATAGTTTGAAGAATTTTTCTGAATGAACTTTTAGTTAACAAGTTAAGCCTCAGAATTGAACTTCAAGCTATAAAGCCCATTTCATCATGTCCCCTCCCTTTAAATCATTAAGCTATTCTTTTAGACTGAGGTTTGAATTCAGTCTTATTCCTCTAAAAAAAAAATAATAATTGTGCCCATGCATATGTGAGATTACAAGTCCTGAGATTTTATTCTTGATAAGAATTACTCACCTTTGGCATGGTGGCAAGACTAGCAATGCCAGCACTTGAGAGGTAGAGGCTGGAGACTAGGGAGTCAGCCTGTACTATTTGAGACCTTGTTTCCAAAAACCAAAAAAGGGAATTACTACTGTTGTGTGGCTAGAAACTCAGTTTGTTGGTATCCTGCTAGCCAGCCTTTTAGTACCTAATTTTAGGAGAATTGTTACCCAGGAGAATTGTTACCCAGAAGATAACAGCCAGAATCTCTGACATTTCTAGACTATATTCATTAAGTACAATTCAGAATGACAGCATGATAATGATGCCAGACTCGAGTTTGAGGAGACTGCTTTTACAACATGAATTCAAGGAACCTTACTAAAAGGTAGCTTTCTGTGGAGCCAGGATGTCTTACTCTGCTTTCTTGACAGGATCTCACTATGTAGCCCTGGCTGGCCTCGAACTCACTGTGTAGGCCAGGCTGGCTTTGAACTCACAGAGATCTGCCTGCCTCTTCCTAGCCCTGGGATTAAAGGCGTGCTCCACTACACCTGGCTCAGGATATCCTACCCCTGAATATTCCAGTTAATCTATGTTTTCTTTGGGTGAGAGATTTTTAAGTTCTATTTTGTTTTGAACTAGTGATTCATCAGCAGGTATAATCTGCACTGAAGTTATTCATGTTGTGGTGACTGCTAAAACACTGTGGGAAAAGACTCATCTTAAGACACATTATTGGAAAACCATTCTTATGGAAGACATTGTAGTAAGGTAGAAGGCTTTGCTTTAAATGTTTACAGTTGCTTGAAGACCGGTTTTGTGTGGTTACATGAACATGAAAGGTACTGGTGGTATTTATTTTGCCAAACAACAATAACAACAAAAGAATGTGATTTAGTTGATTTCCTTATGTCTACATTTTGAAATTTAAGTATATAAACAAAAGCCGAGTGTTAGCCCTTCATATAAATTGTAATATGTAATACACTGTTCATACTCACAGTACCTTGTGTCACTCAGAGCAAAGGAGGCGTGGTCTATTCCAGGGCTGAGGCAGTTCATTCAGTTGCTGACCAGGAATGACTGTTATAGGTGCTTTCTTTATGAAGTTATGTTGACAGGGACCATCTTACTGTAGTGAGCTCTTCATATGTCCTGCTCAGTGTTTGTGCTGTAGTTTCTCAATACTCTAGAGTAGGAATATTTAGGCTCTTTATAGCCTTTTACTGAGAAGGCTCATTTAAAATGGAATTGGTTTGAATAAGGGATTTAAATAACCTATTTTCTCAGACTAGTCAAAGCGAAAAGAGTTTATGACAGAAAATAAATCTAAACTGACATAAAATAACAACACAACGATATTTTCATTATGTGGTGACTGTTACCCAAGCTTTTGTTAGTGGGATTCAGCAGCTGAACCCTTTAGTATCTTTCTGCCTGGAAATTTGTATGCCTAGAGTGTTTTTGTAGATTGGAGAATGTATGTTTAGAAAGTTATATTCTAAGTTTGTTAATTATATGTTAATTTCATTTTCTTTTCAACATCAGCCTGAAATCTAGATTTTTATATATTTTAATCTTAGAAATTTTCGAGATAAAATTGGTTCTGTATTATAGAAAAGTGCAAATCAATAAAATGGTAATATTTCATGGACGAAATCCACTAGTGTGTTTACTTCAGATTTTTTATTTTGCTGTTGCTCTATATTTTGTATTGCAATAATTTAATAACAGTGGATAACTAAAAATGTAGATACCATAACATTTATTCTATATAATTGAATAGGATTAATATTAATACTGATATTCTTGGATTATATTATTAAATGTGAAACATATATATATATATATATATTTAATGGTGTATAGTAGCATATTCATTTATTCACTTACTTGCATTTGAATGCTTGTTCTCCATATTCTTAAAACTCCTTAAAAATATATATACAGATAATCAATCATGAAATTTTAATGATACAAGATGTGACCACATATATTTTTCCATAGATTAAAATATTTGTGCTTGCTGCTCTCGTGACTTAGTATAGGTGTGGCCTCCTATGCTGGAATTTGGGGGTCTTCAAAATGGTGGAAATGTGCAGTGTGGAACACAACAGTGCTTAGTATGTGCTAGATACTTTCTGTATACTGCTTACATATTTAAATTAATGTGATTAATATTCCTATAATGTAGGTTTGTGTTTACATCTTAAACTGTTTTTCCTGTGGGAAACCAAAATTCTTATGATTTGGAAGTTTCTTCATATTGCTGTCATGTTGCTAATAAATATAAATAAATTCTCTCCCTAAAGTAGTCTTCATTTCTGTTTAACATATTCAAGTGTGAGTTATGCTGAGACATCCACACCGGTCTTCACTGTCTTGAGTGGCAGCCACATCAAGATGAGCTGTAATAGTCATCAAGGGTTTCTGGCATCCACTGGATTAATGACTGGCTCTCGGTACTTTTTTACTAATCTTTAATGTTGTCCAGATCTAGAGCTTTCTGGTCAGTTTTTGTTCGGTCCATATTAATTTACTCTCTTCTCTTTCACTTCAAAGAAACTCATCATGTCTCCTGTCATGTTACTGTATTTGTTCAAGTATCATGAAATCTCTGTTTCTTACGTTTTTTTTCTCTCTTTTTGAAACCACTTGGTAGAATTCTGGGGCAGTCTCTTATAGAAACAAGATGCTTTAGCTGATATCCGATGAATAGGTTAGAGCCCACCAACTCGTTCACAGTAGGAAATGGTAGGCATGAAGGCGTAGTAAGGGCTTGGGTTTGACACATCGTGGAATAGGTAGATGAATTAGATAGATATGAAGGGGTTTATAGCAAAACAGTTTATCTGAAAATATGGGCAGGAAATTGGATCATACTGCACATGTCATCCCTGGCCATACTGATAGTTATGGAAAGTGCATTATGTAATCATAAGCTTAGATTATATTAGAAGTATAAATCCCATCCTATTCCTCCATTATGTGTGAGCCAGAGGATTGACTGCACCTTAATTTGTCATTTGAATCCTCTGTCTTACTATGTGAGTGACATCCCTTTATTCCACCAAGACTGGTCAGTACTGCTTGAACAGTGGGACAACTGTGTATGGCTGTAGATCTTGCTTCCTACCACTGTGAATGAGACTGACATGGTCACCTGTAGCTTATATTTTAATAAATAAAAGTAATCTTGGGTGGGGAAGAGTAAGCAGATGAAAGTAGCCATAGGGAACACTTAGAAATGCAGGAAATAAAAATTATTGAGTAAAATTGGTAGGATAGAATGGTTTTCAGCCTTAATCCATCTAGTGGCATCCTTTAGGTCTAACCACTGATCTTGGGGAAAGGAGCGAGCACATACATTCCTCACACCAGTTCATTCAGCACAATGGGTTAGGATTAAGACACTTTTTAAGGGGGAACCATTTCTACGGGCTTTGGCTGTCCTGTTTATGTATAATCTTAGTGACTATACCAAAGTTAATATGTCAGCACTTCAGTTCTCTTCTGCCCTGTGGTATTTGGATGCCACACCTTCTACATTTACAACGCAGTACAGATTCTTAGGTCACTGTTCTCAAAATGGCTTCAGATTAATATGTTTAGGTATCTATGGACTTTTGTCTTTCAAACATAGTCTCAAATAGACCAAGCTGACTTTGAATTTGCTGTGTCGTCAAGGTTGACATCCAGCTTTCAAATGCTATGTCACAAACTCACATCTGCTCACCCGGTCTCTTGGACTGACCCCCTGATGGATCTTCAGAACACTGGTTTTTGGGAACTCAGGAGGTATCTGTGCTTCTGTGGAGACAGATTCCTGGTGTATCTCAGCCAGCATGAGCTCTCCACGTAGCACTGGGGTGGCCTCCAGTTGAAGTACCGTCCTCAGGATTCAGAGTGCTGTGGGAAATGCCATCAGGGAAATGCCAATCAAAACAACTCTGAGATACCATCTTACTCGTATAGACATTATCCACCAAATCTGCCTATGTTTGAGACTCACAATACACTTTAGAGTCTAGTTAGCTAAACACCACTTCTACTTTGTATCCTACAGAACCTCTAAAATATGTTCTAAATACTCCTTTTTTGTCTTTAAGAAATGAAGGCTGGGCATAGGTATAGACCGTTGTAATCCTCAAGTTCTAGAAGCCGAAGAGGTGAATCATGGAAGGTTAGGGCCAGACAGGTTTGTCTACATAGAGAGTCCAGGCCAAAGGGGGCTATTTAGCAAGTCCCTGTTTCACACCTACTGTCTTTCTCAATGTAAAGGGACTCGCTGCTGCTGATTGGTGGCAATGTGAATCCATGGATGAACATTCCAGTTCACACCTTTTCCTGGTTGCCTTTTACAATGGTAGTGACATTGCCAGAGTCCCTATTATTTTCTTTCTTTTTAAAAATCAAAAGCAGGGACATAGAAATGCATATATTTTACTTTTTGCAAGCCTTGTTCAACTCTGGTTTTCTGCTTTTTATGTTGCTGATAAAATTGTTTCGATGGTCTATAAAACCCAGTTTTCTAATTTGCCTTTAGATATGTCAGGTGCCTACCATCAGAAAAGTTCAAAAATCAATGATGGGTAGAACACTTCCAAATAATATTTAAGAAGCACTTTTTTTTTTTTGTTCTGAAATCACCTGTACATCCTCCAACTGAAGGTCAATTTGCAAAACTGGGGATTCATGAAGAAATTATATAGATGGAAAAGTTCTCTTGTACTGTTGAATTAATATATGCCAAGTAGGTATTTGCTGGCCTGCCATCTAAGAAATTGGGTTCCATTAACCTAGAGATAGCCCAACTGTATACCTCAGTTTTAAGCCAACAAAATTTGTAATGTTTCTGTTTAATTAATTGTTTGCTAATCATCATAGTAACTTAGGGAATTTGGATAATTTTTTTTTTTTATTCTGTTAAAGTGTAGCACCTTCCTCTTAGAGTTTCATGTATGGATCAGGAAATTGATTGGTGATGGTTTACTATGAAAGTGTTTCAGATCTGGGTAATACTGAACCTGTATTACAGGTGTAGTGGTGTGTTTTTGTTAGTTACACTATATTGCAGTTACATTTAGAACTATGCACTGGACTGTTAAAGATTTCATGTTAGCTTGGATTTGTAATATTTAGGCCAGATAGTAGTATTTAAACTCTTATATGTGCCTTTCATAGGCTCTTCTTCTTCTTTTCCGTTACAGTGCTAGGGATTGAACGAAGACCTCCCTCACGCCAAACAAACATTCTACCAGTGAGCTACATTCCTAGCTCTCCTTGATTTTTTTTTTTTTTTTCCTAATTTTGAGGTAGGATCTTATTAAGCTACCTAAGCTAGTGTCAGGATCTTTCTCCTGCCTCAGCATTCTTAGCAGGTCTGAGTACTGTCCTGAAGCTTTTCTTACTTTTTGATTCACAAAAACATTACTGTTTTTTTTTTTTGAGGGGGGATAATCTTGAGACAGTTTCTCTGTGTAGCCTTTGCTGTCCTCTGTAGACCAGGCTGGCCTTGAACTCACAGAGATCCGCCTGCCTCTGCCTCCTGATGTCTGGGATTAAAGGTGTGCCTGCACAGCCACAAAAATATTTCAATGCTTCGCATCAATTGTTATTTTAGTAAATATATATTACATCTGATTTAGAAACACGCTGTTTCTAGCTTCTGACTTTAGCCACACATTCTTTGATACAATTGTATATCCATGAAATTTTTGGGTATTTTTCCTTTGTAATAGTTTAGGTTAGGTATAATCAATTAGACATGTATATCTTTGTCCTTAAGTGCCTAAGTTTGACTAGCATAAATTAATTTGAAAAGGGAGAGGGGCGAGAGAAGCACTTATTTAGGGCAACAGTGGTTGTAGTGGGTTTTATTGTTGAACTAAGTGGTACCTAATGAACCACATGCGCAGCCGACTCTGCCCTCTTCTTCCTTCACACGAAGCTGCCCCTTCTCTGAAGCCTCCTCTCACCACTCAGGCTGTTGTCTCATTCTCTTACGTTGGTACATTAGTTTCTCTGGTCTAGTGGTTTTCCTTGCTTCTAATCCTTATTACTTATAACTCCAAGTAAACATTGGTAAAACATCCTAGGCTCTTGATTTCCCTGTTTAAAATGACAAAACAGCTTCCATTCCCTTTGTAATAAAATCCAGAGTTTTTCTGTTTTCACTGCTTACCTCCTGATCTTTGACAGTTCTGTCCTTTCCAGATGGTCATGGGCTTTTGAGACTCTGTCCCTCGTCAGCCCTTTCAGTATTTAAACTTTTCTTTCTGTGAGGCTCATACACTTGAAGGAGTAGCTCCTGTTCTGTACCTTTCTTCAAGACTCTTCTCTGAAATGGCTCCCTCTCAGCTCTTCATGTCTCCATCTGTCTTTTTACCCATCCATCCATCCACCCATCCACCCGTCCATTATCCATCCATCTATCCATCCCCCATCCATCCCCCATCCATCCCCTGTGGTTTTATGCTGTTTATCATCACTTACTTTAGTGTCATGTCCTTCATTGCCCCGTGCACACCATGACAGTCCCCTTCCCATCACAGCTTGTGCTTACTGCTTTTTCAGGATTGATTATGATTAACTGTGTCTACACTGTTTTTAAGGGTGTTTTCGATAATTAACTTGTTAGGATGCCAGTGTAATTGTAACATTATTTCCAACAAATACTGTTTTCTAAAGTTCTTCATTGTTTATAATCTGACTGATTATGTATGCATTCCGTAACAATAGAAGCATAGAATATTGTTTGATCCTGTGCTAACAAGTTAATTGAATGCCTTGTGACACATGCCTTGCTTGTTGGCTGTGCGACTGGTAGATCCTTAGGAACTCTACCTGGAGGGTTTCCTCTTAGGTCAGGAGGGGAAAGGATGACTCAAGTCCACCAGCTGCAGGGAGCGGTCCATGTGCAGACTTCCAGTGAATCCCCAGGACTGTAATACTATCCTCTGGGGAGGTCCATAGGAATGGTTCCTTTCTAGTTTGAATTTTCACGTGATAAACTTTGACCCGTGCTGAGACATAGGGCAGCAGTTGCTGATATGAGTGTGGGCCAAGGTGTAGGATCCTGAATCAGCTTATCAAAAGCAGATGTCACAGGCCTGGAGAGATGGCTGGGTGCTTAAGACCACTTGTGGCTCTTCCTGAGAGCTCAGATTTGATCCCAGCACCCACACATAGTGGCTTACAGCCTTCTGGAACTCCCACTTGAGGGGATCTGATGCTCTCTTCTGGCCTCCGTGGGCAGCAGGCACCTCTGGAGTGCACAGACATACGTAGAGGCGGAAACACCCATACACG